CTCTGGTCTGCTATTGGGTATAATATTCTTCCTTTCAGTCCGTGTATGCTTACTTTCTAATTTCTTTATCGTAGCATCGAGGGTCTCATTAGTTTTCGTGAGGCTCTGCTCAAGTTTATAGCAAGCCCTCAAAATTGCGATTCTTAGCTCCATATCCTCCATTTCTGTCATGTTTTTTTGTCTCCGCATCTTTTATGCTTTCTTGGTGAACCCCCTTGTGGTCTTTGTGCGCAGTCTTGTTCTAGCCAAGCCTTAATTGTTGTAGTTAACACTAGAGGGATTTGACCACCAGGCCGACTGGCTGTAGGAATCAGCTATGTGGAAAACTTCAGTCCTCTGGGGAGGCGCTAGTCCAGCCTTTGCTTGAGGCAATCGGCAAATGGCTCTGCGCAGGGTTTGGGCGGGGTGGGCTCAACAGGGTGGGGGGAGGGAGCAGCTATGGCCGCTCTCAGTCCGTCTCCAGGGGCTCTGCCTCTCTGTCCCCGCAACCGCTGCAAACCTCGGAGGGACCGTAGCCAGACAGTCCCACTTCTCCCGTTTGAGTCTGGGTCCCTAGAGACTCTCCCGGGTCTGTAGCCCAGAGTCTGAGACTCACTCCCGACTGAAAATGACAATCGCACCCTCAGCCACCAGCCCGCTTTTGCGCGCGCACTGCCGCACCGCCGCACCTTTAAATTTTCCACACTGCGCCTCCTCTAAGCCTCGTAATGCTGTTGTTTTTCCTTCTAGTTGAAGAGTCCCTCCTCAGCCAGCCTTCCTGTGGTTCTGGGTGATGTCCGTTCCGTCTTTTAGTTGTATTTTTGAAGTGGTTGTTCGAGGCAGCAAACTCCAGTGTTTACCTATGCCGCCATCTTGGTTTCTCCTCCATAGATGTATGATTTTTGTCCAGTCTCTTCCCACACCCCCCACACCCCTTTCCCCCCCGGAAATAGTCCACTCCCTTTCTATGCCCCTGATTCTATTATATTCACCAGTTTATTCTGTTCATCAGATTATTTATTCACTTGATTTTTAGATTCACTTGTTGATAGATGTGTATTTGTTGTTCATAATTTGTATCTTTACCTTTTTCTTCTTCCTCCTCTTCTTAAAGGATACCTTTCAGCATTTCATATAATACTGGTTTGGTGGTGTTGAACTCCTTTAGCTTTTTCTTATCTGTGAAGCTCTTTATCTCACCTTCAATTCTGAATGATAGCTTTGCTGGGTAAAGTAATCTAGGTTTTAGGTTCTTACTATTCATCATTTTGAATGACGGAAGTTTTAATCCCCTCTACCCTGGCTCAATAGGTTGTCTCTGACCACTTTGGGAAAGAGAACTTTACAGAATATATTTAATGCATCAGATGTTCATTAGTAGGAATGTTATGGGACAGAAAAAAAAATGTGCTTTTCTTTGTTAGGTGGTTTTTTGTTTTAATTCATTTTTTTCAAATTATTTTTATTGATTTTAGAGAGAGAGAGAGGAAGGTAGGGAGAGAAAGAGAGCGAAACATCAATTTGTTGTTCCACGTATCTATTCATTCAATAGTTGATTCCTGTATGTGACCTGACCAGGGATCGAACCCACAACCTTGACTTGTTGTAATGATGCTTTAATCAACTAAGCTACCTGGCCGGGGCTGGCTTTGTTTCATTTTTAATCTAACCTTAGATTTGTTAGAAAGTCTGTATAAGTTGTGTTTTGGGGATAGAATGGGCTATAAAGTTGTAAAGGCTTTAAATAGCTTCTGTTTTAGAGAGAATTTTAGCTAATCCTTGAGTTTAGTAATGTGATAACAGATTTATTTAACACAGTGAATGTGCTTTAGAACAAAGGAATTTTGTATGTTTAGAGAATTTAACTTTTCATAATTAACTGTGGACTGACAACTTCTAGCTACCACAGCATTATTTTTCTGCAATAAATTGTGCTTCTGTGTTTCCAAAGCCCAATGGGGAAATACAGTCTATAGTAGCAATTCTCTGGTCTGAGGATACCTTTACACTCTGAAGAATTATTGAAGACCCAGAGAACTTGTGTTCTGTGGGTTACATTTATCAATATTTACCATAGTGGAAATTAGAATTTAGAAACTTTAAGAATATTTATCAATTAATTTTAAAGTAATAAACCCATTACACATTAACATTTTTCATGAACAAAACAAAAATAATGAAATTTAGATCTCTTTTATGTCTGGCTTAAAGACATTTGGAGCCTCATATCTGCTTCTGTGTCAGTCTGTTGTGATACAACACATTGTGTAGCCTCAGGAAAACTTCGCTGTACACTCATGCGATAGGCAACGATGTCTTAGTATACTTGTAAAATAGTGTTTACCTAATGGACTCCTGGAAGGGTCTCATTCCCAGACCATATTTTGAAAACCATTGGTCTTTGGTATATTTCTTAAGGTTCTAAGAAGTATATTTGTGAGTTTATAGGTAAGTGCAAATTTTTTGTTTTACTTAGTCCTTCTATTTTATTTACATTTTTATCCCACAAAAATATTTAAAGCATTTGATATTAGCTGGATGTAGTGCATGAGTTTCTAGTGACTGAAAGTTTTCAAAAAGTTTCCTCTATAGTTGTCATTTTTTCTCACTAGCTTATAAGCTCCATGAGGGCAGGGACTTTGACCTCTGGTTCACTCCTCTGTCCCCAACTCCTAGTATGGCTCCTTACACATGGTGGAACTTAGTACAAATGTGATGAATAGATGGTAAAAATGCACACACAAAATATTTGAGATTTAAAAGCAGGCTCTACCTCCCAAAAATGTTACATTGACGTCTAAAGTTTGATTTGTCATACTTTAGAACTTAAAAGTTTGGTTTTTATTTTTAGATATAACCGAAGGAAGTACTCAGAGATCATGGCTGAAAAAACAGCAAATGCAGCAGGAAAGAAGTTCCGAAAGAAGAAGAAATTTCGCAATTAAGATTCACCAAGCAAGCCACAGTATTTTACCTCGCCCCTTTATTTATTTACTAAAGATGTCTTTCAAACTAACACCATCACAAAAAATTAACATAGACTGGCCCTATTTATTTATAGGGGTTTTTCTGTTTGGAAACGTTGATTTGAGTGAGATTCGATCATGTTCACCTTGGAGTAAAAGTAGATGCGTCTACAAAAGTCCCACCCATGCTTAGACCCATAGAGGGGAAAAAGGAAAAGAACCTTAACAAATTTAATGGACATTTTGTAAAGTTTTCAATGCTTGGTTATTAAAGAAAATTGAATTAAAAGATATTTAGAAAGTATAAAGTTTGTTAACATTCAAAAAACTTTAATGTGATCAAGGATATATGTAACAATATTGTAATTAACAATATTAATTAAAGATGTAGGGGGGGGTATATGTAGGGGAGAGATAGTAGACAGGAAATGCTCTTTTGTTGGCTGTAAATTTAGGTCCAAAAAATACAGAGATCTGGACTGAGATACACAGATCTCCTTGTAGCCAGTATAAAAGTCATAGTTGAAACCAAAGGAAGGATACAAAAGGACTTAAAAAATAAGGAAGACTACCTAGAAAGATTGGGTTAAAGCTGATGAAAGAAGGACTTTCAAAATACCTTAAGATCTTGAATGATTTCTAAAATAGCCTGTCTTGTTTCAAAATGTTTTTAAGATAGCTTATTAAAAAATGCATACAACACAGCTAGTTTTTTAAGTGAGGAAATTACAGAAAGGAAATTGAGGATGGAAGAAATTAGATGAAGCCAGGGTGACAGATAATAAATATGAGCCATGAACTTTCTAGCATCTAACACAAAAATCAGTTCTGTGTCAGTGTTCTGCCATAAGATAAAAACAACTACTTTAAAGAAACATTCCTATTATTAAGGCCTGAGAAAACGTCCTTGAGTCCTTCCCATAATAATGTGAGAGGAGAGGCAATACTTGGCTATCGAGACCATAAACAGCAGAGTTTTAAGAAAATGGAAAGGGGTGGGGGGCAGGGAGGCTGTAAAGAAAATTTCAATAGAACCTTGAGTAAAGTTTTGGAATAAATTCATGGGATCCTACTCTTAGAAATAGCAAGTTAGAAGAAAACATGCTCATATGAAAAAGACATTTTAATACTATTTCAAGTCAGTCTCAAGCAATGGCAACTATTCAGAATAACTACCAATACCATTTTCAGTTAGGGTTAAAACAAAAAAAAGACTTTCTAGGTAATCAATTCCTTAAGCATCTAATTAAAATGTAAAGTTCATCTCCTCATTGTTACACAATTTAAAAGTAAAGAAATGTTTCCTATTTTAAAAGTAAAGAAGGAATGCTTCCACTTACTAATAGTTTCCAAGAAGCAGGGTCAGTAGCATGACCTGTAATTAAATGTCATAAGCAGATCAGTGTTTTATCAAAGAAATGAAATATCTTAAAATGAAACGTGAAATAAATTAGGTATGGGAAGTTTCTGAAATGGAAAAGGTTATTAATAAATACTCACTAAACACCAACTATAAGACAAAAACTATTTTAGCCTCAGGTGACAGGTGGTTCATAGTGCATGTTCGTTCCGATTATCACCGCATTACAAATTACCCCAAAAATCAGTGACTCAAAATAACCGTCGTTTTCATTGTATCTCATGATTTGATGGGGCTCGGTTTGGTGCTTTTACATGCTATTGAATTAGTAGTATTCAGCTGGCAGCTAAGCAAATCTGGAAGGTTTGAAATGCTTCCCCAACATGTCTGGCACCTTGTAATGTTCTCTTAAAAGTAGGATGATAATTGAAATTTTTCTTAAGTTTAAACAGTATAGCATAAAAATTGCTATAAAACCAAAACAAAACCCACACATTTTGTGTGTCACTGAAGGCTCTAGCATGGTTAAATGGCCTCAGCACGCAGTATTTAGGAAGTTCTACTTCCCACATACCTCCTTCATAGTCACTCTCTAAGGCAGTGGTTCTCAACCTTGGCTACACATTAGAATCACCTGGGAATCTTTTTAAAATCCTGATTTCTGGGCCTCATCCTCCGGAAATTCTGTTTCTTTATCTCTACAGCCTTGCTCCAGATGCACATAATTCCAATAACTGTGATATGCCCAGCCAGGTATCATGATGTCATCTCATATCCAGAACCAGAAACATCTTTCTGAGATGATTAAATAAGCACTTAGCACTCACTGTGCCTGGCACATAACAGGTACTCAAAGGAAAGCTACTATTTCTCTGTTCTCTATCATTCCCCCCACCCCCCATTAGGGAAGTCTTCCTTAAACAATTTTAATGCCTTCCTGCATTTTACCTTCTATGGGCCATCTTTGCTTAACAAAACATGCAGAAAAACTTACATTCAAGATCTGACATTCAAGGCCTTCTATAAAATGATGCCACCACAGGTTTATATTCACCACTCCCCTGTCCATGCACCAAACTCCATTTGTGCTGATCATTTGCCTGTTTCTCTCTGGTTTACTCTGGGTTGCAGGAACCTACAATATAAATATTTCTCTCTTTTCTGCAACCAGCACAGCTAGAGAGCGGACAGGAGTCCTGAGTAGGGTTGACGGGGGATTGAGAAAACGAAAGAGACAGACACAAAGACAGTAGGGAAAGCTGGGACCGGGTGGGACAGCTGTCCTCTGATGGAGAGACAATTGACCCAGAGCGATACAGTGTGTTTATTTTATACAGTAAGATACCAGGAAGTTTTACTAAAGTTTAAGATAAAGAAAATACGTGCATTCATGTGGCTTCTTTGTAATCATCATCACTTCTGGGGTGGGCCCAGATAATTGTGTTTGTTCCTGGTGCCTGGCTGGATTTTGACAATGAAATCCACCCCCTGGTGCCTGAGCTACAAGTCAGACTGACAACACACCTGCATCTGGCAAGGTATGTTTCCAGGGCATGGCTCTGCCAGGCGCCACTGGATTCAGACGACAATCAGCTCAGGGGTCTTTCCCAGACACTTTTTACAGTACATTTCTCGAATTCCCTTGCCAACTACCTTTCAGGTAAGACAATGCCCTAAAGACTGGAGAGCAGAAGGGCAGAAGTCAGGGTATTTATCTCCTTCTGTACTCTGAGTTGGGTTGTGGCTCTGCCATTTCCCAGATCTCACCAGGCAGCCTCCCACCTATTGGCCCAGGCTTCTGGGTTCTGGTAACACCATCTCCTCCCATTCTCTCTCTAGCACAAGGGGTGATAGAGGTTTCCTACTGTTGCCATCTCTGGGTGACTTACACTTTCAGCATTTCTACCACTTGTGTAACAATCCCTTATATTAAACTAGAGGCCCGGTGCACAAAAATTTGTGCACTTGGGGTGTGGGGGGGTGTCCCTCAGCCCGGCCTGTGCCCTCTCGCAGTCTGGGACTCCTCAGGGGATGACCACCTGCTGGCTTAGGCCTGCTCCCTAGGGGATTGGGCATAAGCTGGCAATCAGACATCCCTCTGGCAGCCTGGCAGCCCTCGGGGGATGTCTACTTGCCAGCGGGGAGCAGACCTAAGCTGCAGTCGGACATCCTTAGCGCTGCTGAGGAGGCAGGAGAGGCTCCCACCACCACCGCTGTACTGGCAGCCGTCAGCCTGGCTTGTGGCTGAGCAGAGCTCCTCCATGTGGGAGCTCACTACCAGAGGGCAGCTCCTGCATTGAGCGTCTGCCCCCTGGTGGTCAGTGTGTGTCATAGTGACCAGTCATTCCCAGTCTTTCTGCTGTTAGGGTCAGTTTGCATATTACCCTTTTACTATATAGGATAGAGGCCTGGTGCACGGGTGGGGGGGCAGCTGGTTTGCCCTGAAGGGTGTCCCGGATCAGGGTGGGGGTCCCGCTTGGGTGCCTGGCCAGCCTGGGTGAGGGGCTGATGGCTGTTTGCAGCTGGTCACACCCCCTTCAGGGTGGGGGTCCCCACTGGGGTGCCTGGCCAGCTTGGATGAGGGGCTCATGGCTGTTTTCAGGCTGGCCACACCTCTTTTAGGGTGGGGGTCCCCACTGGGGTGCCTGGCCAGTCTGGGTGAGGGACTGAGGGCCGTTTTCAGGCTGGCCGGCAACTGAAGCTCCCAGCCTCTCCTTTTTTTCTTTTTTCTTTTCTTATTCTGGGATTTATTTACCTTCTATAATTGAAACTTTGTTGCCGTCACTGGAGCTGAGAGCCAGCTCCTACTCGCTCCAGCTCTGAGGCCACAGCCTGCTGAAAGCAGGTATCTGGGGTTTGTTTAGCTTCTATAATTGAAACTTTGTTGCCATCACTGGAGCTGAGAGCCGGCTCCTACTCGCTTCAGCTCTGAGGCCACGGCCTGCTGAAAGCAGGTATCTGGGGTTTGTTTAGCTTCTATAATCGAAACATTGTTGCTTTCGGGCTCAGAGCCGGGCCGTGGCAGGCGGGGAACCTTGGCTTCCTCCATCACTGGAGCCAAACCAAACTGGTTGATATTGAATGCTTGCAGGCAGTCAACATATACCGAGTTCTATGCATGCCAGGTACTGTGCTAGATACAGTGAGTTTTCATCATTTATGTCTTTGTTCATATGGTTAACTCCCCTAATATCTTTTTCTTACCCCCATCCCACCTAATAAAATACTACTGACCTTTCAGGCCTATTCAGAAACCAATATTTTGAGCATCTACTCTGTGCGAGGCATTGTGCTTGGTGCTGGGGGTGCCCAGGGAAGGAACAGGGTCATCACAGAGCTGACAGTCTACATTTCTTCATGAAATCCTTTTTCATATTTTCTCCACTGATGTGTATACTCTTGAATTTCCCATTTTTCTGTGCTTATTTTTATTTGTACTTAAGAACTTAGCAAATACAACTTATTTTTATGTAACTGTTCCATATGCATGTACATATGGAACATATATATTATATACATATACAAAAATTTAGGTAAACCTATGAGGTAGGTGTTATCCTCATTTTATAACTGAAGAAATGGGCACAGAGAGGTTAAGTAACCTGCCTGAGGTCACAGAGCAAGTAAGTATAACTCTTTTGTCACATTTTTATTTTATTTTGGCCTTGCACTATAGCTATCTGCATACCTACTTCAGTATCACCAGCGGAAACTGCTGAATTTTTTCTTTTACTGTTATAGAATACATGATTTCTAGCTGGAAATACAGCCACCTGGGGGTGAGGGAAGCTATGAGTCCCACTTTTTCATGGGATGTGAGTGAAAGTGTATATGGAACTTATGGAAAATGTCCTTCAAAGAAAGGTGAGTTTAGAGAGGAACTGTGTTGACCTGATGATAGAGGCAGAAGCAGTCATCTTGGAACAAGAGCGG